GGACTTTGAAGACAGTTAGACCCAGACTCAGTTCTTAAGTCTGGAATTTACTAGCTTTGTGAATGGGGACACATTATCTACCTCTGTCTCAGTTTCTTTACCTGCAAGATGGAGAGAATAGTTTTTATGCATGGTTGATAAAAAGATAAGAAATTGAAAATACCTATGTATATCACCCAGCACAGTGCATCACATAGAAGACATTCAATAAAAGTTAGCTATTATTATTATTATGTCAGTAGAGCCAGGTTTCTGTCTAACCATAGGCAAGCAGAAGACAGCACCATCAGACCCAGTTTCAATAATCCTTGGGCTTAGCCAGGCCAAACGTTGGGGGATCACCATCTTCATTGCACAGAGGAAGAAAATTGAGGTACCCCATGGTGATGTACAGTGAGCCAATAGAAAACTTTAGATCTGCACCTTTAGTGAGGGATGTCAGACCTCCACGCCTCAGCTCTCCCTTTCCCAAAGGCTTAATTAGAGCCTGTTAAGCCATTTCCGATCCTCAGATGAAAGGTGTGCTCATCTTATCCCGGCCCTAACAAAGTCGCTAGGGGGCTGCTCAGAATCTCTGATCTTTAGACCAAGTTAAGTGAAGGAAATTAAGGGCCCTCTAACGCTGTGCTGCTTTTTTTCCTTGCCTCTTTCAAATATGATTTCTCCCAAATCAGGAAGAAAGATTATACTATTCCAATACCACCCAGGACATCTTCTGGGGGATGAGAAGGGAGAATATGGGATGGAGAAGGGAGATCTCACACAGGCAAGAACTGAGGGAGGGAACTAGAGAAACTGGAAGCAATACTATTGACTTACATGCCCAGAAATAAGCAATCGGGATTCAGAAATGTCCCTTACAGGACACCGTAGGGAACATTTCCCCTCAAACGGGCTCCACTGGAAGCTCCACAGAGTCGCAAGAAGGAAAACCCTCTCCAAACAGAATCAAACTAGTAATTTTTTAAATGGTAAAAGATAACCCTGAATTCCGAAAGACTATTTTTAAAATGGTAATAATCCCTTGATCAGCCACTGGCGGGGAATATGGCATTTGGTTGAGACATTTTACCAATTACAACCCACGGTGTCCCTGCGTGGTGCTTTCTAAACAGTCAAAACCAGCTCTTAATAGTCACTCGCCCAGACAGGAAGAGAAAGAACAGAACCAAGTCCAAATGAGAAGACGCCGTTACAAAAGAAAGCCCAGCTCAGCAGGTCCCTGGGAGCCAGGAGCTGACCTGATGGGCAGCAGGTGGTGGCAAAGCAACAGACCTGGGCAAAGTGTCTTGATTTGGGAGCTTAGGGATTCCAGGAAAGTGAGGAAAAGCCACGAGTGGGGGACCAGAGAGCATGGACAAACCTGAGTGGTGTGGACTTGGACAAACCTGAGCGTGAATTCCAGCTCTGCCTGAAGTCCTTGCTAAAAGTGGACGTGGGCCAAGTCCTCACCCTCCCTGAGCTTCAGTTTCCTCATTTGTGAAATGGCAGTTTATCCACCTTGAAGGGCTGACCTCCAGATTGGAAGTGATCTGCGCCAAGTGCCCCTGTGGTGTCTGGTACACAACAGGTACTCAGGAGATGCTATTTCCCCTGCTCCTGGTCACTCTCCCCTCCCCTGCCAGCATCACCTTGGATGGAGCTGGGAGAATATGAGAGCAGAGATACTGACATTCCTCCCACCAATTAATTATCCCTCCCCAAACCACTTCTTCATCCTGTAATAAGCAGGGGAAGGACACTTGTCAAGAGGCAAAGATTGGCCTGGTGATTGGGATGGGACCTGGGGACCAGCGTTGCGAAGCTACATCTGTGCCCATGATACATCTGCACAGTTTTCAGCGGTACTCACGGAACTTGAGGCAGACAGGAAAGCAGCAGGACGGTCGCCAGATTTGTTGAAGAAAAATGGGCAATAAAGAGGATTATTGCAATCCACTTTATAGGTCCAATCAGGAGGGTGTGTCCCATAGGGTAGCCAAAGGTCAAAAACATCATCCTCTTTCATGGTCACTTCTGCAGCACAGTCTATTCAACATCAGCTCAAAAAAGATGGGGATGGGATTTGGGGAGGTCAAGAAGGAATTCTATGCATAGAGGCTGAAGTTAACTAACACTTTCTATAAGGGCAGTATTTGTCCAAGGGTAGGTCTGTGGACCACCTGCATCACAGTCATCTCTCTGAGTGCTAGGTAAGAATATGCAGATTCCTAGAATGCACCCAGTTTTACTAACTCAGAATTTATAGCTGGGGGGCCTGGGAATGTACCTTTTGAAACAAGGACCATTGGTCATTCTGGTACATTCTGGCACACTTTGGCTTGAGAAGCCTTACCCTACACCAATCATGTGAGCTGCTGATGAAGGAACAGCAGCTGCTGTTTAGGATGCCACAGAGCAGAATCCCTTGCTGGGCTGGAGTGGGGCCTGAGGGATGGATACTGGTGGCTGGCAATGCTGTTTCTTAATGACGCAGACAATCCTGCGGTCTGGCAGCTGGGAAAAGCCGGCCTGAGTGGCGGCTGCTGGAGAAGCAGAGTTAAGGTGAAGAGGTGCTTTGAGCCTAATCAGCTGCCGCTCAAGCGGGGGTGGATCAGGGCCACCAGCCAACCCTGCCACTGCACGTGTCGCTTGATGGAAGGGGTGCTGGAGGCGGGCTCTTTCTGGGGAGCACTCAGGAAGCAGGGCAGACGTCCACAGGGAGCCATTCAAAGCTGAGACGGGGCTTTCATGGCGTGGGTCTGGACTCGGTGTGAGCGTTATGCTCTCTCAGCTACCACTTCTCCCCGTCATTCTCTCCACACACTCCGCTCCCTCACTCTGTCTTGTCTTCTTATAGCACTTATCAGTACTGACATTATATTATATATGTATTTGCCTATTATCTCTCCCCTACTAGAACACAGGCCCCACAAAAGCAGACACTGTGCCCATTTTTAAAAACGTGTGCCTGGAAGAAAGCCTGGCATACAGTGGGCCCTGAACAGATATTGATTGAAAAAATGAACGAATGTTCATTTCACATCCCCAAAGCATACTGGGGCTCAGGGAAAGTCTGCCTGGTAGTTTCCCTATAGGCCAGAGGCTTTAGTGGTTCAGGGAATTATGCATCCAAGGGCACAATTTGAGTTTAACCCTAAATGGCACTTATTTTTTTCTCTGTTAGTCCTCCTTGCTAGACTGAGCTCGCTCTCAGGGCAGGGCCAGGCCTTTCTCAGCCTTGTTTCTTCCACGCCGAGCAAGGCGCCTGACACACAGAATGGGCTCAATTAACGATTTGTTAGATAAATGAAATGACTGTTTTGTGATACTCTCTCCCATAGTTTCTGGCCGCCTACCTACCCCTGGCCCCACTGGGGAAGTTATCAGAAATGGTGGCCGTTATTATGGCTTAAAGATCACAGAGCTCTGGCCCAGCTTGAGGAGTAGTTTCCAGAGCCGGCACCGGGACTCAGGGCTCCTCTCTCTCCATCTGGGACTCTTCCCTTTTACATTGTTGTCTTCCAAGAAGGGGGACCTGGCCCGGCATCATCACTGTCCTCTGAGAAGGAATTCACTGGACCTCGTGAGAAAGGCTGAGTCAGAGCCTCTCAGACACAGGGACAGGGCAGCAGGAGGCAGATGTGGCGGGGCTTCCACCGCCTAGCGCAGGGTTTCAGCAGAATCGCCTCGGGTGCTTGATGCCACAGCAGCTCCTGGGCTCTCTCCTACGTCTCCCCAGTCAGACTCTGGTGGGGTAGAGTCTAAAATTCTGCATTTTGAACAAATTATCAAGGTGATTTTGATGCATGATTTGTCTTCATAGTTAAGAACTGGGCTTCAGAGTCAGAGGTTTTTGGGTTCAAAACCTGTTGCCATTACTAATTGTTCAAGGCCAACTCAGTCAATTTCCTGAGCCTTAGTTTCCCCACTTGTAAAATGAGGATTAATAAAAAGTACCTACTTTGTAGGGTTAAATGAGAAGATACATATGACACATTTAAATGGTATACGGCCCGTGGTAAGAGCTTAATAAATGAAAGCTGCGATGATGATGATGATGATGATGATGAGAGAAGAAGAAAAAGAAGAATCAGAAGATGGTGAAGATGAAGATAAAGACGATGATTCTCAACAATCTCCTGGAGAGGCAATTCTGCAGCCCCTTCAGTGGTACATTCCCTTGGGGGGCCACTGATAGTCAGGAAGCTCTTCAATATGTCTGCTTCCTGCTGTCATGGGGCATCATTTCCTATTTCGCAGGCTTTTCTGAGGGTGGAGAAGGGCTGGACTAAGAATAGAAAGTTGATTAGTAGGGTGATGGGGAGGGTGGGAGACCTTCATACAGGCAGTTGGAGTAGCTGTCAGAATCCCTATTTCCTCTGATGTAAGAGAATCTGAGAAAAGGAGAATAGGAAGGTTAATGAAGGAGACGGAGAAGAGGAGTAGGGAGTGGAAAGGAGCTACAAAGGGCAAAGCACCTGAGCCGGCGGTGGAGGACAGGCGGCCGACAGTGGGGAGGGGTGTGATTGGCATGGGGGTGGGGCTTGGGTTGGTCAGACAAGAGGCAACAGGAGAGAACTGGCTGTCCATTCCACTGCTGAAGGGACTCCTCAGCCCACCTGGGATCCCATCTGTGCCTTACCAGTCGGCTCCCCGGAGTCTAATGCTGGTTCCAGGGTTAGGGTGAAATTCAGGGAGTGGAATAATTCAAAATAGTGAACAAGGTGTAGGAATTCCTTCCCTATGTGACACCCCCTTGCCTCCCCTCTCCCCCATAAAGCATGGTTGCCTCCCTCTTGGTTTTTGCGGGGCTGCAGCCCTGACCCACACTGGCTGATCCTGGTGGCAGAAGTGGGGATGACCAGCGCATGCCAGGAGTCTTGCACAGGATGCAGCCTGTTGTTCTTGGGGATAACTGAGAGCAGGAGGTTGTCCTGAGTGCCAAGGAGAAATGGGCTGGGGACAGAGAACGGAACTAAGAGGAGGGATCTGCCACCATGGCAGCATAGCTAGCTTACCTGCCGAAAACCATTCCTCGTGAACTGTAAGATTTTCAAGGCATAGTTGGACCTCTGGCCTTTGCTGTTGAATTCAATGTGGCCGGTGAGACCTTCCAATTCTACCTGTCCAAGAGAGAGTGAGTTACAGCACCAAATAGGCCCCATGTTCCACTTGGCCCCAAGAAAGCATTCCACACATGAGCTATTTAAGGATGCCCAAGAGAGGGGGAGCCATCAAGATCCATTCTCCTGCCCGCCTCTCAGCCACAGGATCTTGTGACTACAAATGGGATGTCTCTGGAACCAATTCAGACTTGTCCGGCGCTGGAGTAGGAGAAGGATGCCCCACACCCAATGACCTCACAGCTGCTGCCTAAGCCAACACAATGCTAGGGTGCTCGCCTGAGCTCAGATTCCCATGGGCCCCTCCTCCAGGCCCTTGGCTGTTAACAGTATTCACCCTCTCTGGGCAGTTGCTCACCCACCCCCAGCCTGCAAGAAGTCAGGAGGACCTGACTCTAAATGCAAATTCCAAGCCACTCTGCACCAGGCTTCTCTGACAGGAGAGGTCTTCTTTGTGGACTTGAGATCCATGTCCGTCCCACCAGAGGAGACACAGCGAGAGAACATTGGGGAAACCCAGCACCAAGCTAGAAGTGCTGAGCCTGCAACTCCCTGCGAGTTCCCGGTCTATGGCAGCATCATCCATCCTCGTTTGTGCAGAGCTTTCCTGGGACCACCTCTAAGCTGAGGGGTCAGGTTCCAAGCCTGGAATCCAGGACCCCTTAATAGTCTCAAGGCTCAAGAGCCATTGCCTTGTAAACAAACTCGCCATGGATTCTCGGTGGTTTTAGAGATCAGGGAACAAATGTGACCCAGGGGCCACTGAATGGGGTCGCCAGAGATTGCTTTTCAGCTGAGGCTGTGATATGCTAAAGAAGCCCAGAGGTGAGGGGCCTTGAACAGTGTCCCACCGGCAGGCTGGGCGTGCTCCTGCGGGGCCCCAGCCGCCCCTCACCATGCGCAGGTAGTTCATGAGGCTGGTGCCGTGCTGCCAGATCTGGGCTGAGCCGCAGGACAGGGGCTTCACGCCGATCTCCTGGCTCCGGTTCAGTTCCTGCACCGCGGTCACCACAGCATAGACGGCATCAAACAGCAGGGCCGAGGAGAGCTGCGAGAGGGCAGAAAGCGGAGAGAGGAGGCACAGAGGGAGGAAGGGATGGGCGTAAAGGAAGGGAAGGGAAAGGAGGAAGAACAGAGACAAGGAGGAAAGGAGGACATCAAAACAAGGAAGATAAGGGCGTGTCTTTGGCCCACCTCCTGTCTGTGGTTCAGCTCCACTTCCCCTAACCAGGTGCTTGCACACAGCAGACAATGGTGGCAATGGCTTCTCAGGGACTGGGCATCAAGCTACCCCTCTGGGCACCATAAGATTTCAAGAGTATCTTTCTCTCTCTTTGCTCCATGGAAGTAGCAACTTCCATGCTCTCAGGAAGGGGACAGCGTACCTATCTCAGGAAAAGGAAGGAAGGCAGCCAGTACCTTCAGCTTTGCCCATTCTACAAGGCTCAGTTGAAGGTCACTTCCACCTGGGAGACCTCCATGATATTGTTTCTTCCTAGACGGACCCACTACTACAGTCTACTTTGTACTATTCAATTTGATGAGTATGTATGGAGCACACGGTCAATTCAAAGCCCAAAGATGGTGAGACCCTATTCTTGTGACAGATTATACTGGAATGGGGGAGGGGTATGGGGAGACAGGACAGAAATAAAGGTAACATGAACTGAGTGAGATGGACCCCCAAAAGTCTGTGGGGGTCCAAAGAGGAAGATATCTTATCTGGTTGGGTGGTTGAGGAAATGTTTTGTGGAAGATGCAGCGTTGGAACTGACCCCTGAAGGATTCTGGTAGATCCTTGCTGCATCTGGGAGTGGGGCGCAGCAGGGGAAGGGGAGGAAGGCATTCCAGAGGTGGAACTGCGGGAGCGAAGACAGAGGTGGGAGGTGTGGAGCACACCTGCAGAAGGGGATGGGAGGGGAAGAAGCAATAAAGCGGAAGGGAGGCAGGGGCCATGCTGTGGAGGCCTTCAAGCCAGGGCAAGAGTTCGGTGCAGCTGTCTGTCCATATTGTCATCTCCCTAGTAAAGTGCAGGCTCTGGGGCCCGAACACTCAGGACCTTCACCTCTGTATCCTGCAGAGCATCTAGTACCAGGACTGGCATGTGGTAGGCCCCCAAGACACATTTCTTGAATTGAATTAAATTTGGGGTGAAATCTGTCCAAAGGCTCAGCCCAAACACCACGTCAAGTTAACTGGATGTTTGCAGCCTTTGGAAAGGGACAGGCTGAGGTGTTTGGGCGGCGATGGGAGGAGAGCAGAAAAACAAAAGACGCCCGTCCTTGGGGAGTGTGCCGTCTACGGAGGTGACATCACTCTGCTGTGTTAATGTACTTAAGGCCCCTGACAAGAGAAACCTACTGAGTACAAATGACTATAGGATCAACACTGTGCAGGGGCCCTGAGGGAAGGCCCAGGAGAGCAGGCAGAGGCCCTGAGGAAGGAGTGATGTGGGGCGCTGAAGTCCACACCCACCCTAAGACGAAGCAATGCCCTTCACTGTACTGGGACGCTCCACGACGGGCAATTCAATACTGTCTCTTCAAAGCCCCTTCTTTCAACAGAAGAAACCAGTGAGAGCACTCTCCATGTGACTTCTTCCAACCTTCCTCCTACCGACTGAACCCTGGAACACAGGCCTCTCCAAGGTTGGAGGCAGGGAGGCCATCTTGTGACCTCCTGGGTTTTTTCAAGCTCTGAAGATGGAGTGTACGCAGCTTGAGACAGCGAGGTGGAGGAGAAACTAACATAAAGGAACACTAAACCCGGAGTCTAGATCCCAGGCCTCGCTTATGTGCTGAGTGACCGCACGCTGCACCGAGGGAGCACCAGTCCCCTGTAAACGAGGGTCAGTGTCCCCGCCTCAGTAAAAGTGCTCTGTACGCTGCGAGTGTCAGGGTCACCATGCCTGAGGGCGGAGCCCGTGTACCCCCAGGTGCGCAGGTGTCAGCAGGTGCTCAGGAAGCAGGTGTTGGCTGGACTAAGGCTCTGGGGAGTAATAAGACTGGGAAAGAGTGACTTATTTCCTTCACAGTTTTACTACCTGTTGGGCAAGGAGGCCCTAACAGGAACAGGGTAAGCTGACTGCTAAAAGGCAATTACCGGGGAAACAGCCAAATAAAGTTCTCCGCCCCAATCTAAGTTCACTTGCATTGGAAACCTGCCTGGCCAGTGTCTTCCTTCTTTCTCCCTCTCACCCTCTCTCCCCTCTCTTGCCCCTTTTCTTCCTTCCACCTGCTTCTTTTCTTTCTTCCCAGCCCCTACAATCTGGCAGGTACTGTAGACTTCAACACCACCCATTCTCCACTGAGACGTCCCACCAGACAGGAACCATTGTATCCCCTCTGCCTCCTTTGGGTCTTCGGCCCTCCCAGCTCCACACCCCTCCTTTCTGTCACCTGGTCCCAAAGCCACCTGTGACCTGAAGACTAAGCAGGTAAGGGCACCTAAGTGCTATAATCGGGATCAGCAGAAACCTCTGCAGTCCTGCTGAGCCGTGCTGACCAGCACACTCTGCCAAGCCCCTCCATCCATCATCTCCCGCTCTCTCTTCCCCATCCCACTGCCCTTCTCCTTTACAGCTCAGCTCCCTCTTCATTTGATTCGAGGCTCACCTGTGTGGCGCTTGATGCTTCTCAGCAAGCCTACAACTGTCCTTGTCCTTTGCACATAATTCATTTCCCCTGGAACACATGTGGCTCCTTTATTAATGGACCTCTCACATTTCCTTGACAAAAGGACATATGGAAATTACGAATGCTACAGACTCTCCCTTTCCAGCTTAGACAAACATCTACCTGAGGGGGAGTTAGTTACCCCATTGACATTGGCTTCTAGATCCTTCCGTTTGGCTATTTAAATGATACTGTAAACTAATTTCTGCCTCATCTTCTCTCTTGCCTCCCAGTTAGTTAGTCTCTCCATTCTGAGATTCTCAAAATCACAGAGTGTTAGAACTGGAAGGGATCCTAGAGATCAACTAGTCCAACTCTCTCATTTTACAAATGAAGAAACTGAGGCTCAGAGAGTTCTCCTCTTGCCCCAAGTCACCAAGCAAGACAGTGGCAGGGCCAGCACTGGAACCCCAGCACCCCTTTCCCCATGCTGGTTTCCGCCCCTGTCTGCGGCATTGTCTCTCCACTTCACTTCCTGACAAGGCTCCTCTCAAGAAGCCCGGGTGTGTCGCCGCTCTACCAGATTTATTCCTGTGCCAAGCCTCCTGGGACAACATGGGGCAATCTTTCTAGACGTGGTTACCTTCTTATCAGCAGACAGCAGCATGAGACTCTCAGGCCAGAGCTGGGGGCAGGGAAGGGTGGTGGGCAGGCTTCTCTGCTACCCTGGGTCTGGGTATTACCCAGTTTGTCTTCTGGTCTGACCAGTTGTTTGTCCTCACATTAGCCCCTCACTTGAGAGCCATTTGGAACTTTTGCTGGAAGAAGACTATAAGGGCAGGACAGACAGGGCAGTGGAAAGTACCATCAGTTGCCTACCTAGCACCATTATCCCCTTCTTCCTCCCTAACAGAACCCCCATTTCATTCAGGTGTCCTCCTCTCCCCCAAGCAGCCATGTGCTTCAGGGGTGGCTGATCCAGCCCCAGCTCCCAGGTGACCCTGAGTGGTCCAGAGTCATCCCATCCCCATAGCCAACATGTGATTCAGGACTGGGCAGGTGGCTCACTTCTGACCAATGAGACATGAACTGAGGCCTGGAGTGATGGGTTGCTTCTCAGAAGAGCTTCTTGTCTCTGAGAGAGGCAGTTCTTGCTCTTCCTCTGGACACTCCTGTGTCAGGACACAATGCCTGGACTGTGGCAGCCATCCAGGCTCCAGCCTAAAGATGAAGTTGACCCCAAGGGTGACAGAGCAGAGATGCAGGGAACCTGGGTTTCCAATGACATCACTCCAGAATCTGCCCTACCTCTCGACTTACTGTGACATGAGATAACACATCTCCTTTTTTGTATAAGGCAGTTTAATTCAGGATTTCCATCACTGGAAGCTGAGTGCATGCTAACTGGTCCTGAGGTCCTGGGGACCCCCTTCCTCTCAGGGGCATTGTTGCCCCAGCCCCCCAGAGAGGCCTGGGCCTCATCCCCTCTCTAAAGGCCCCTTCTGCTCACAAGGCTACACACTGGTCCCCGAGAGACCCCAATCACTGCAGACTTGCAGACACAGCTCACCACGCCATTTCTCACATCCTCCCACCAGCCCCCAAGCTCTTTCCTGCCACATGGTTGTCGCTGTTCCCACTCCATCTGGGATGTGGTTTTCTTGGCTGATGCTCTCTTATTAGCAGATAATCCGGATGCCGGGAGATCAGTGCGTGCCTGTTTGCAGTGTTCTTTGGCATCCTGAACTCTGGGGCCTTCAAGATTCTTCGAGTGCTTCTAGTAGTTACAACTCCAGCAAGGGATGCTCGGGGCAGGGAGTACATGGAAGGACCATCTTCAGGGTTCCTGTCTCCTCTCCATCTGTCTGTTGCCTTCAGAGAGGTCACATGAGTCCCCAGGATGCTCTCGGCTTCACGGGTCCTCTCTGCGGTTCAGCCTGGGCTGATCTGAGCTGGAACCTCCTAAGCTCTGAACATCTTCTCCCACTTCAGTCTCCTCAGGGTCCCCCAAACATAACCCGACCACCCCTGTTTCACAGTCTCCTGGTGATGTGCCCAGGCCTCTCACCTGGATCCTCCAACTGCTTCTCTGAGACCTTGCCTCCCATCCCTGGCTCCTCCAGCCTATATCCCCCAAGTCGCCAATCTCCTCCCCTCACCCAATTTCACCTCCAATGCTGTGAGGGCCTGTAATCTCTGCCTCATCAACTCTTCCATCTCACTCCAGAGCTCCATCCTGAGCATCTTTTTGCTCTTCTAACTGCTTTCTCCCTCTGCTATTATTTACTAATTTAACTCTGGAAAGCATCTGGGACAGCAGTTGGGGAAAGCAGTTTTGGTACCAAAACAGCACTCAGGCCCGCTTCTGGGCCCACAGTCCCCGCCATCTCCACTCCTTCCCGCCTTCCAAGCGTCTCCCTTCCCTTTCACGATC